AGCCAAGAGGAGTATCAGAGGATTAAAGATATTAAGATATTAGACTTAGAATTCTGTGATTATGGACATCTGAATATTCTAAATTTAGGCTGGGAAGCCTGAGGGAAATGACATTGTGGGAAGCATGAAAAGGAGCATGTTTTATGTCCGGAATTGTGTTTGGGGTGTATTGGGAGGAGGTTTTATGGGAGAATGGTGGGGTGGCAGAGGAAGAAGTTTAGGGAATATATCCGTCGAGGATATATCTAGTTTATTTTCGTGAGAAAATGAATTGAGTGTGTGAGGAGGGGGTATGGTTAGTTGGTTTTTCTGTGAGGAGTATGGGTAAAATAGATTAAAGCCCCAGCGACAGAGGTTTATAATAGTAGTATGAAAAAAGTAGTTAAAACTTTCAATCAAAGCCAATATCCCGACAAAGAATTCAAAGAATACCTTAACCAATTATCCAGTCCGCACTATCAAGGAGGTTCTTGGATTTTACCTAAAAATCCAACTCCTTTACAAAAGAGTAAGCATGAACTCTGCCGAGAAATCTTAATTTATCAGCGTAAACATAAACTCACTGATGAGGAATTAGCCAAACAAATGGAAATAACCTTGGCTGAAACTGAGGATATTTTACATTACCGCATTGATTACTTTACTTTGGATAGATTAATGACTTACGCAAGCAAGTTATTTAAATTTGAACCATTGATAATTGGAATAATTAAAGATAGAGATTTAAATGGCAAAAGAAAAGTGGTCTAAGTTAACCAATGAGGAATTTAGCGAAGTTGATAAAGAATGGCAGTGAACTTATTTGCTTCTAACTCCTATAATCTTTAACGAACAAACTATTACTAAAATAACCATCACTGACCACTATAAATTAGAACATAGCGATGTTATGACTAATGAAAAGATATTAGAAATAATGAGGAAACTAAATGGTGAAATAATAAAACCCGAACCGAAGAAAAAGCCTAATTGACCAGATGTTTTTGTGCCGAAAGGAATTGAGTATGGAGATAAAAGGTATTTATTAGTCTTTTGGTTTGAAAAAAACAGTTCAGATTGATTATGAGTTAGAGATGGTTATCCTGATTAGTAAAATATACTATATAGATTGTCAATTTAGCCCTAGTGCTGATTAGGTTAGTCTTATTCTTGGGACTAATTTGGGCTAAGGGTTCTTAGTTAGTTTCAGTTCTCGGAAGGTTCTCGGAACTGGCTAGAGCTAAATTAATAATCTTATGAACCTTCCAAGCGTTCAAGGAATAAAAGTTCCTCACAAAAAATCAAAAAAATACTGAAAACAGTATAACCACAAGCGTCTTGCTTATATTGTTGCTAAAAATAAAGAAAGAAGAGCATTTTTAAAAACCAATAAACCAGTTAAACCTCTTTCTCTTTTTCAACAAACCAAACAAAACCTCCTTTTAAAGTTATTAGTTAATAATCGTTCTTTTGTTCCAGTTCCAACTAAATTAAAGCACCCAGTAATTAAAAACTGAAATGCTGATAATTACTGATACCCCAAAAAACTAGACTTAAATAACTTACCAAGAGGTTGCGTTCGGATTTATGAAGACAACTGAAATCACTGTGCTGTTGTTTGATTAGATATCGACCAAAAAGGCTGAACTAAACTTGCTAAGCAATTAAGATGCGGTTATGTCAAAAGTCCCAAAGGTCATATTAGAATACCAGTTCCAGTTAGAAATCTAGGAAATTTAAAAACAGGAACTCTTTACTACCAAAATCAGAAAATTGGTGATGCTAAACTAAGTGGTGAAGTAATGTTGCCCGGAAATGCTTATTATGATAAAGAAGGCAAGTTTTTAGGTTATTATGAATATAAAGCCTGAGGAACTTTTTTTCCTTATCAGAATCAGATTTGGAAAAATAGTGAAGAATTCTTTGCTAAATTAACTGAGATTAGTGGAATTGAATATAAGAGTATTAGAGAACACTTATTTTGCTTGAAATCAGAACCAAAAATCATTACAGAAAATGATTATAACACCTTTAAAGAAACCTTATATATTCCGGTGAAAGAACCACCCTGACAGAAAATGATTACAACCCAAGGAATAAATTCACAAAATAGGCAGTAATTAGGGGGCATTACGCTTTTTTTTTAATTATTGTCTATTTTGGGAAAGTATTTTACACTTCCCAACTAACCAACTATCGGAATAAGAAAGAAAGTTAGAAATTGAAGCTCAACTATGAGGCAGTGATTAGAGTGGTGTTATACCTGAAAATACTCTAATTAGGGCGAATGAAAAACCCGCCCTAGGCTCATTGCGTAGGAGGTCTCCTCTTACCAACTAGTCTTTACATATCCTAAATTAATTTTAAGATATTAGCAGTAGGCTATTGGTAGGAGGAGAGGAGGGGATAAGTTAAGTGACAGAAAATGATTACAACCTTTGGTTGTAGGGGTTGGTATTAAGATAAAGGAAGTGGTAATTTTCTTTATGAAAGTTGGTAAAGGAAAGTCTAAACGTTAGGGTAAGTTTTGAATACTTATTCTTGGCTACTGAGTACTCAATAAAAACCCCACTGGATAACGCCTTTTTTTATTTGCTTTTAAATGTGAACATTTAAGAAAACTAACCTAAAACTCCCTAATTCTTTGGTTTTTTACTCCCTAAATACTTGGCAAATTAATTTTCAAAACCTCAATCACTTAAAATTAAAAACTTATGAACAAAAAACCAAGTTCCTGAAAACAAAAAGCCAATAAAACCGCACACAAAATAAAAGAAATTGCCCAAGCTGGGAAAGAAAAAATCAACCAAGTTCGTCAGAGTTCAACTTGGCAAAAAACTAAACGAGCGGTTAAAAAAGGGGTTAAAATTGTTGGTTCTCATTTAGCAACTGCGAAGGCTTCTCTTACGTTATCTAATGAAGAAGCTGAGTTAATGGAAAATTTAAAAAATAAACTAAATAAAAAAGGTATTTATCCCTCCAAAAGTGAAATCTTACGAGCGGGCTTATGAAGTTTAAGAACTAAGAATTTAGAAGAATTGGAAGAAGCAGTGAAAGACTTATTTAAAATAAAGCAAATGAGAGTGCTTTAAACAGGAATTTCCTCACTTATTCTTGAAGAATAAAACTAACTAAGAAATAATTCCCTAAACACTTGGCTTTTTCTTAAAAAAATAATCCTGGATAACTTAACTTTTACTAAAAACTTCTCCTAAACAAAATTTATATAAAATATAAATCTTAAATGAAGACTAAAAAAATACACCAAATACTTATGAAAAACCAATACTTTATTAAATTCCAAATTTTCCTGTGCCATTAGGCACAAAAAAAGTAGGATTATAAACTTCACACTTTAAAACTTTACCGGAAGTAAAACAGTAATATTCTAATTAGATTATTAGTTTGGGCTAATAATCTTGTGATTTCTTACCAGTTCCACCATTAGAATATTAGGGCAAAAGAACTGGTAAATACTAAAAAGTGCTAATCTGTTTAAAAATTAGCGAATATAAAGAAAAAAATTAAAAAATTATGCCAAAACAAAATCCATATATAATACCAATAGAAAATAAAAAGCCGTTTGAGACGGTCTATGAATTAAAAAATGAAGTTCCTAGTTTTGAGGAGTTTATGAAAAATTATGAAGGAAATGTTAATTATTCTGATTTAGAGAGTAGTGATATTGGAAGCCCAAAAATTTATGGTCCGGGGGATAGAGATAAAGGCAAAAGCAAAAGCGAAGGTTCAGGGAAGTATAATCAACACTTGATTAATACCATTAATGATAATACGGCTGTTGCAAGAACTGATTTGTGAAGTGAAGAAGTATCGTCTTATAAGGAAAGTGATTGAAGTATATTTAACGCTACGTCTTCTAATCAAGCAAGAGGTGGACTAGGTGGCGGAATAATAGATAGCAGGAGTAGTGTTTCTTTTTTTAGAGCTAGCGATGGTGAGGGTAATGAGGTTAGATTTTTAAGTGGCAGAGCCGGAGCTGAACTTGGATTAGGTTTAGGAGGTGCTACTGCTATGGCTGAAGCAGGTTTTGATTTAGGAGGTGTCGAAGCAAATGGCTTTCAAGTAAGAGTGGGACCTAATATTGACACGGGTGGTTCAATTGGTCTTGGTGGAGTAGAAGTTAAAGTAGCTGGTCTTGGTGTTAGTATTGGTAAAAAGACTGGAATAAGCACTCCTCTTGGAGAAATCGCAGTTGATTTCGAAAAATGTGCTGTGCAGTAGATGTTACAAAAAAATCCCCGAAGGAGAAGAAGTTGCCAAAACCAGTGGTTATTGAAAAGTAAATGGCTGAGGGAGGTGAGGAAATGAAATTTTCTGTAAAAAGTGTGCTCTCTGGCAGGATAAAAAAGACCGAACCTTTTTAGCCGTTTTTTTCATATTTCCATTTATAATGTTGATAGGAGTTATTATTTATCTGGTTTCAATTGGTATTTTTCCCTTTCGTGTGATATTCTATTCAATTCCTGGGTTAGCAGTAATTACCTGCCTCGTATGATTTGAATTTTTGCCCGTTAGAAAAAAAGGTAAAAAAAAGAACCAAAAAAAAATTTTTCTAAAACCCCCAAAAACCTCCCCATAAAATCAACCTCCTGCCCCACTTTTTCTCCTTAACCACAATAGAGGGAAAACACTAAAAAAAACACTCTAAAATATATACATAAAATAATTTATAGATAAAAGTAATTTATTAGATAAAAAAACAATTACTCACTCCCAGAAAAAGGGGGGAAAAAAGGGTGGGGGAAAGTTAGGTTTTACCTTCTTTCAATTTTTATTTTTTTTGCTACTTTTTTTAACTAGTAGGTAAAGGTAAAACCAGCCTTAGGTTTTTAGTTCACTTTTTAAGGTTTACTAGTAATTATAAGAGGTAGGAAAAAAGTAAGCAGAATAGCAAGGAATTAGTAAAGAAAAACATGCAAATAAGCCAAGAGGAGTATCAGAGGATTAAAGATATTAAGATATTAGACTTAGAATTCTGTGATTATGGACATCTGAATATCTTAAACCTGGGTGGAGAAGTTTGGGGAAAGTGATATTGTAATAAGTGTGAGCGAGAGCATGTGCTTTGTCCTAGTTTATGTTTGCCGGTCAGTAGGAATATTATTGGGTGTGAATTGGTGAGGAAGAGAATTAAGAAAACTGAGGAACCAGTGAAACCGAACTGTCCTTATGATTGAGCGAATTGTTATTTGTGCGGGAAAGAGTTAAGAGGAGCCGGGAAGACTGGGAGGATTAAGAATCGGAATAATCCTAGTTTTTGGGGAGTAAGGAGTAGTTATAAGATATTGTGTTTGGGGTGTTTGGGGAAGAAGTATTATGGGAGGATGGTGGGGTGGCAACGAAAGAAGTTTAGGGAGTATAGGAGGAGGGGGTATGTTTAGAAGAATTAAGCCAAATTCTTCCCAGTAAACACTATTCACAAAGCCTTTCAAGCCTGAGCTCAAATTTTACTATCTACTTGTCCTTTTTTTTTCAATCAAGCGTAATTTTTTATCAACAGCCCGTAACCGATGAAGGAGAATTTTACTTTTTCGGTCTAATCCATTTTCTCTATTGGCTTTGATTAATACCTCAAAACTAGCCACATTCTCCAACTCCTCTTCCTCACTAGTCAAAGGAGCAATTACCGTATATCTGTTATACTGGTTTTGTCAATTATTACTCAATATCAAAACCGGGCGGATTTTATTTTGCTCTCTTTCCCTTTTACGGTTAAAGTCAATTAGTCAGATTTCGCCCTGCTTAGGAATTTGTTCACTCATTTTATTCTATTCCATCCCCTATTACTTCATCTCAAATTTCATCCTCTTTACGGAGAGATTTACTATCTCTTTTATAATCAGCAATTAGTTTTTGTTGGAATTCCTTAGTCTTTTTATCTAAGTTCCTATCGCTTTTGGCCAATTCATTAGCAATAGCTTTTTCAACAAAACCGCTAACTTTCCGGTCTCCTATTTCTTCTTTTAACCTTATATACAAATGAGAACTAATACTGACATTTAAAGTTGGCTTGGCTTCTAAATTTCTTGGTCTTACCATATAATTTATTTTTGTTTTGATGTTATTAGACTAACAAAAAAGATAAAAATAAGTTATGGACTGCTCGAAGCAGTTCATAAAAAACCAAAACAAGTCAAAAAAAAAAACTAGGTATCCAATCACTAGGCAGCCAAGTATTTTAATAACTAGCTGGAACTAAACTACTTGTTTAAAAAAAATGGTAAAGTTCAGAGGTAATTAGGCACCTTGCGGAATGTAAATTCCAAATAGTCCTAGTCCATGTCGCAAGAGAACGCAAACATTATAGCAGGAGGACTTTTTTTTTACTGCTATATAGTTATTTTAGCAAACAAGTTATCCATGTTATCTATTGCTAGCATACCGCGCACACGCAAGAGAAAAATTTATTATGGAAGAACTGTTGAGACGATTAGATAAGCCGTATATCAGAGTAAAGACTAAGAACAAGATTCCTCGGGTATTAGATTGAGTTAACCATGCAGAGAAGCAGAGTATAGAGGAGTTGTTAAAGGAGAATGGAGAATATGGATTAAGAACTGGAACCAAGATTGGTAATTATTGGTTTTGTGCTTTGGATATTGATAAGCATGGTTGAACCAAGTTATTTAAAAGTTGGCAATCTTATATCAAGACATTTCGGGGCATTCATGTTTATTGTCTGATTAGAGAAAAAGAACCACCAAGCAACAGCATTCTTTATTATCAGGGTAGGAGAATTGGTGATTTATTAAGTAAGGGCAAGCAAGTAATTGGGGTAGGAAGTAAGCACGCAAGTGCAATTGTTTATCAATTAATTAAAAATAGAAAGTGGTTTATGAAGTTGGAGAGTGTTGAGGAGTTAGAAAAGAAGTTAGAAAATTGAGGAATTGAAATGAACTAAAAGTTTCTCAGTAGTTAGGCTTTTTCAGCAGCAGAAGTTTTAATCCTGAATACTCAATAAAAACCTTGTTAGATAATGCTCCTTTATTTACTTTTAAATTGTAGAACACTTAAGGAAATCTACCTAACTCCCGAATGCTTATTTTTTTACTTACTTAACATATATAAAGAAAGTTGGGAGAATAGATTTGTTGAACTTGAGTCGCAACAATACTAAAAATAGGTATTGCTGCCAATTGCTGGGGTATTTGGCTAGTTGATTCCCGAGCTTTTGGAAACGTTTGCTGTCTAGCTAACTTTCTCAAGTCATTTTCTATTGCTTGTAATTAATTACTGCTGAGACAGTTTGGTGCTTCTCAATTAGGATAAGTTCCACCATGGGTTCCGTAGTTATGAAAAAGGTTGTGAAAATAATTCATTCTGTTAAGACTATCAATAGTTACTTGACAAGGACAACAAGCCAGTTTGCTAATACCAATATATCGTTGGGGAACATCCCTCCTTCTTCTGTTGTCATTTATTAAGCGATTAACTAACTTCATTTCGGCATGCATCATTTGCCTGTGACCGATTTTTGAAAAATTTCCTCTTCTAATTGCTTCAACTAAATCTTGACTTAATGTTGAGTTCTTAATAGCGTTGGTAATAATATTTAAATCATGTCACGGTGTTAAGCAGTCTCAAGCCCAATTAGCTTTTCGATTTATTCTGTTTGCCTCGTCCTCTCGACCGTTTTGTCTTTCTCGGTTTGCTAATCTTCTCTCTTCTGTGATCTTGTTGTAAACTACTTGAGCTAAATTTTGAATAGTATTTAAACTATTAAGCTTGTCATTAGAAGAAAAATTCCGATTGCTTCTGTAATTCACAATTTCATCCTTTAACCTTGTTAATTCTCTATACCTAGTTCTCAATGAATTAACTTCTAAAACTCTTTCCATGGCTATCTCAGCTAACGTTATGTAATTTCCTGCCTCTTGAGGATTATTAGCAAATCTCTGTAGGTGAAGCAAATAATTATCAGCGTAAATAGTTGCTATTTCTCTATTATTAGAGTAAAGTAATCGACCATTATGATAGCATACGGCAGCACAAACGTCTTCTTTTCCTAAAATTAATCGTGCCAGGACATCTAAATATTCAAATCCTCCTCTCCGTGGTTGAAGGCTTGAACAAACGTGGTTGTCATTATTATCTCTTTCCCTCCTAACCAAAGTTTCAATTATTTGCTTAAGTGTCATCTTAAATTTTTATTTACTGATACTTATCGCCGAACTCCGAAAGTGGTAATCTCTTACTAATTTTTCATAGTGCTCAACTAAAGAATAGTCAACTTTGGCAAACACATCTTTTACTTCAAAGTTTGTTATTGTCTTGGCATAAATGTCTAAGTTCTTCTGTTGTAAAAATCACTCCATAATCTGCCAGTTTCCTCCCCTCTCAGCTATGCCTGAAGCCATACTATGCAATACTGTTCAACCATATTTATCACTAGCATTAATATCACATCCTTCCTCAATAAGGAATTTCAACATTTCTAAGTTACCTTCTCCAGCAGCATAATGTAATAAGGTGCCATCTGACTCATTTCGAATGCTGTTTATGTCGATGTTTCTTTCTTTGACACTACTGATTATTTTTCTAACTAATTTAACGTCTCCTTCCTCTACTGCTTCAAATAACTCTTCTCTTTCTTCCTCCGATATAGTTTCAATTTCCATCATCTGAGGTGAACTTGATTCTTGAATTCCTGTTTTTCCTTGTCTTATTTCTCATTCCTTCCTCACTTTTTCATAAGCACTTTGGGAAAAAATATTTTTGGAGAAGAGAAGGGCACTTTTAGAAGAATTATCTTCTGAAATGAAACTTATTGGTAAACTTATGGAAATACAGTTGTCCAAGAGATATTTAATCATTTCCCGTCCTTCTCCTGAGCTGCTGTCAAAGAGCAAATTGTTATTTGTATCAAAAACCTCAAGTCTGGCTCCCTTTTCTATTAAAAATTTGACTAAACTCAGGTTAACCTTGAGCGTGGCAATTTGTAGAGGAGTTGCACTAAAATAATTTTTCGCTTCTATATCTGCTCCTTTGCTTAATAACAATCCAATCACCTCCGTATTATCCTCTATTGTATCATAATGCAAGAGAGAGTTTCCGCCCTGATCTTTTTCATTGACTATTTCTGGCTGATTTTTAATAATTTCCTTTAGTAATTCGAGGTTATTTTCTTTTAACACCTCAATTATTTCTTCTAATGAATAGCTTTTTATTGTTTTTGCTTTTTTTTTTCATCAAACATTTTTAAAGGGTTTTAATAGGTTAGTATTTTGGGGGAATTTCTATTTGGTATTGAATTTCTTTTGTTTCTGAATAAGAAGAGTCAATTTTATTCTCTTCTTTGAAAGTTTTTACCACAAGATCATTAAAAATAAAAATCTCTGGAGAACGAGTCAAGATCAAATCAGTAAGAGGATTATTAGAACAGTCTAATAGTTGTAAGTTAAAATTTTTTTGTAAATCTAATTGAGTAAATGAATTATTGTTACAATACAAATGAGTAAGATTAGGAGCATTATAAAGAGTAACCCTGTTTATGTTGTTGTGCGAGAGATTTAATCTCCTCAATCGAAGAAAAGAACCATTTATTCCTCAATCACCAACACGTTTATTAAAGGAATAATCAATCTCTTCTAAAATATTCCAGTTATTTACAACAAGACCAAAAACATTGTTATTAAAAGAAACATTTAATCTGCGAAGATTAATCCAACCTTGTTCACTTCCTAAATCACCTTCTAAATTTTGATTACTAATATCTAAATTAATTATTTCTTCTCTTCTTTTTCCATAATTTTCTTGATCTTCTTTTCTTTGACAAGTTCCACTTAGAGGATAATTTTTGTTGATTCATTCCCGAGCATTTACCATAATACTATATTTTACAATAATAAACAAAATGTTCTTATTGTACATAAATAAACAAGACAATTATTTAAGATAATTAAGTAAAAATCTTAGTAATTAGGTACTTTTTGAGTTTTTAGTAATCAAAAGAAAACATCTGATAAATATTTGGAGAGGGTTATCAGAGAAAGGATAGCAATTCCATTCTCTTTTTGATTACTTTCTTTATTTAGAGTAAAAATTAACAACTATTTGTCTTGAATTTGCTGTTGAGCCACTAATTCATTATGGTAGTCAAATTGTAGTTGTGCTAAATCATTTCTATTTAAAAATTCTTCAGAAAAGCACTCGGGAGAAAGATATTTTTTTTCTCTCAGTCAAACAACAAAACATCAACCTTCCTGTGGATTTAATCTGGGGATTACATTAAACCACTTTTCAGCCTGTTCATAGGTAAAATAACTAGACCAATTATTTTTGATTATTGAATCTTGAAAATCTTGGTGAATAGAAGTTCAAGTTGGGATATTATTGTCTTAAAAAAAATTTTCTCTACTAATTTTTTTATTTATGGACATAGGGGAGGGTAAAACACCTAAAATATACTATATAAACATTCAACAATAATATTCAAGTAGAATATTAAGGATATAAGTATATGAAAGGGAATTGAAAAGAATTTGGTAAAGAAAAAGGACTATTTAAGAGCATTTATTGTGGAGACTGTAAGCAGAGAAAAGTTTGCGGCAAGTTAGACCAATCTTTTTGCTGTCCTTGTCAGTATCAAATAGAATTAGAAAAAGCCAAGGGATATTCTAATTATCAGCAAGTTTTTCGGAGAAAAGAACAGGAGCAAAAAGAGAGATTTCGGCAATTACAATTATTAAAGAACTATCAAAGATGTAAACAGTGCAGAAGTTTAGCCGCAGATGCCTATTCTTTGTATGAGAAAAGCCAGTTAGTTTGTCAGCCTTGCCGTCTAGTAAAAGAAGGTGGAGCTTCTGGGGCGATTAGTTTTTTGGAGCAAAGTAATTGATATAAAAAGCGTTGGAAAATAGATTTAACGGAATGATTGGATAATTATCATTATTTACTAGTAAATAAGAAGTGTGCTGATAAATGGTTAAAAGATAAAGGACATCCAAAAAATTGTGCTTGCTTGGAACAAGAAACAAGAGAAATTTGCTCTTTGTTTACTAAATCTTTGAAAGAACTACGAGAAAATTTAAAGAAATGCAAGTGTGAAACTAGTGAAAAAGTAAGGGTTGATTATTTAGATAGTGCGGGTAGTGGTTGAACTTATTGTGAGAAATGTGAGACTAGAATAGAGAGTGCGGGACATCATGGAGTGATTAAGAATAGGAATAGTCCTAGTTTTTGAGGATTAAATGTTAAAGAAAGAATTTTATGTGGGGATTGCTTGGCTAAACTAGCAGAGAAAATGCCTTCTTTGCGAAAGGCTGAATTTAATAGGTATCGGAAAGTTAAAAGACTATAATTTTTGTTAGAAACAAGAAAGTAGGAAGGTTATAACCTCCTACGATAAAATGAAAAATACTTGAGTTAGGTGAGTTTGGTTTCAGGAAGACAAGAAAGAATTTAGAAAGGAATATCTACAATAAGCAACTTAATTTTGGGAGAGTATTTGAGCTTGTAATTGTTGTTCTTTTTCAATATTTTCAATCTCTTTAAGTCAGTCTTTTTCTTTCTCTAATTCCGATTTCAACTCTCCTAAATCTTTATGAAGAGAGTCGAGTTTTCTTTCCATGTCTTCCAGAGTCCAGTATTCCCTAATCATTTCGATCGATAACAATGTTACAAACCTTTTCATATCTATTATTAAATGTTTTGAGTTTTTTGTATTCCCTCAAACCTTCTTCTAAATCTAGAATTTTAGTGACGTGTAGACTGATCTTTATGTCTAGTCCCTTATTTTCTTGAATAACTTCAATCAAAGAATTATAAGTTTCGCTAAATAAGAACGTATTTAACTCTTCACCTTGCAAGTAATTTTTAAACTCATCACTACGTTTGTCACAAAAACTCATCTTGCAACAATTGTTAAAAACAGAGGCTATTTCTACCGCCAATTTAATAGGATTGACTATTTTGATAGGGCTATCAAAAGCTTCTCCCATCCCTCTAATTCCTTTAATTATTTCATCCCTAACGGCATATTCTTTAGTGTGCGTTTTCAATTCTTGACAACACTTATTTAATTCGTTAATAGTTTCTCCAAGGCAATACAAGAAAGACTCTTTTGCTTTTTGAAAACTGACCAACTTATTTTTTACTTCTTCCTCTTTTTTTTTTTGAAAAGATTTAATAATCTTTACTATCTCCTCTAAACTTTCTTTATTATTCAATATTTTCTTAAAGCATTCGCCGCCGCTCCTTAATTTATCTCGTAATTCATTACTTTTTTCTTCGAGATTTGATAATTCATTTCTTAACTCAATATTACTTTTGCTTACTTCAAGAACAGAAACTAGAAACTTTTTAAGTGTCTTGATATAATCATCAATATTATCTAAATTCTTTAATTTTTTTGATCGTACCAAGCAAACTTTAATCTCGCAAAGTTTTTTTACTTCTTCTTTCTCTTGCTTCACTTGCTTGCTACACTCTTCTATAGGAATATTATGTTCTTCTATTATTTTTGAATCATCTTTATCGGGATTGTTTTTCATGCTTATTTCGATGCTACTTAATAGTACTTTTAGCATACTTTTTACTGCTTCTTCACTTCCTTCATCGGCAGCGGAAACTAATTTGTTAAACTGAACATGCAATTCTTCTTTTTTTAACCCCATGAATATTTTCAAATCAGTTTGCCTAAAATTGTCTAAGATATCTTCTAGTTGTTGTTTAAAACTATTATTTTTGAATAAATTCCTTACTCAATTTAAGTTTCTGCTTTTTGGAGAATTTTTTTCTTTTAGCAGTTCTTCCTTTTCTTTTTTTAAAATTTCAATTTTTCTTAATAAAGGTCCTAAAATTTCAATTAATTTAGTGTTGCCATCTATTTCTAATTCTTCTAAGTTATCTAAGTTCCTCAGAAATTCTAAACTAGTTAAATTATTTTGACGAACATTCAGTTTCTTTATTTGAGAACAATTGTCAATGACCAAATCATTAGTGTCACAGTTTCAGATTGTACATTCTTGCAGTCTTTTTAAGTTTTTAAGAGTTATTTTATCTACTTTCCTAACATCTTGCAAGTATAATTTTTCTAGTTTTGAATAGCCTTCAATAACTAACTCTCCCTGAAAATTTCGGTTACGTTTTATTTCTATTTCTTTTTCTTGCTTAACATTGTTAAGCTCGTGTTTAGTGCTTATTTTTACCATATCACTATTTACTTATTAGTAGGAATCTCAACATTGACTTGTAGTTCTTGCTCTGCTTCAATAAATCTTTCACAGTAACGAATAATTACATTTATCTTTTCTTCCGAAAAACCTTTTTCTTCTAATCTATCTGCTATCTCTCAAGCCCTATCCTCTGCTTCCTCATTATTCCTATCTTTTATAACCATTTTCCTAGCTTGGATAAAATCGCTTATTAACACTTTTTGTTCTTCAGTAAGAGGCTGATCAATTTCTTTTTCCAATTTTTTTAATTCTGGTTCTAAGGCTCGCTTTTCAGGTTTTTGTGATAATAACACGATTTCCTTGGTATTTATTGGAGAACTGTCTAAAGAACCAGTAGAACGTATTTGATAAAGAGTATTTTGAGAGAAATTATCGTACTCTACCTCTATTTCTTGATATTGATGATAGAATTCGGTGTTTTTCTTTTCTTTAATTTCATAGTCTCAATTCTCAATAATTCCTTTCAATTCATTGGCATTAATTCTCTTCCCCGGATCAATATCTCAACACCTTTTAATTAAGTCTTTCATCAATGGAGGTATTTTCAATTCATCTACATCGGGCCTTAATCCTTGGCATATTTTTAATGCTAGATTTGTATCTTCTAGATTTAAATCACTATAAGGATAAGTATTCGCCAATAACTCGTAAGCCACTATTCCAAAAGAGTAAATATCACTGGCTTGAGTGTAAGGTTGACCTTGTAAGACTTCGGGAGCTACATAAGGAAGAACACCGAAGACTTGACCCTCTCCTTTTTGAGAATTAACAGATTGGCTTAATCCCAAATCAGCAACATAACTCCGATCATTAGAATTTAATATATTTCCACTATGCAAATCTCGATGGATTAGATTTTGTTGATGAATATCTTTTAGTCCACTAATAATATCTCTTAATCTGTCAAGTTTATCTCTAAAAGTTAATTTTTTTTGCTGCAGATACTGCCTAAGGTTGCCTCCTTCCATGTATTGCATTGCTATCACATAATTCTTAGTCTCGGGCTCTTGAGAAATACCATAACATTCTGTAATATTGCCACTTTTGTCAACTAACTTATTATTAGTAATCTCAGTCAAAAATTCGGGAGTGACATTTTGAGAGTTAACAAGAATCTTTAGAAGAACTGTTTTATTATTGCTATCTCATCTTGCCCTATACATCTTACTAAAGCCCCCTTCAGCAATTTTTTTTATACCACTAAATTCTTCATAAGGAATTCATTGTAAATTACTTCCTTCTTCTCTTAACTTTTGTTGTTCAATAAATTTCTCTACTAATTCTCGCTTTTCTAATTGTTGTCATTCTTTTTCAGCACAAGGTTGACACCAATTTTCACTAGAATTGATTTGCTGACATTTTTGGCAAAACCCTCACCTACACCCTTCTAATAAAGAAACAATTTTAGTTAGTTTACAATCTGGTCTTTTCTTAGTGGAATATTCAATTTCTTCTAAACTCTTTGGTAATTTATCTAGATTTGTTTCACTAATGTCAGTATTGCTAATATTAAGTATTTTCAATTGCTGCATATTACTTAAGAAATCAAGCGATCCGGAAAATTTATTATAGATGCCTTGATCTATTTTTGCTCTATCATTGTTTTCTAAACAGAGTTTTTCTAAATTAATAAAACTGCTGAGAAAAGATAAGTCCTGTTCAAGAAAATTATTGTTTCTTAAATTTATTAATTTTAAACTAGTGGAATTATGGGGCAAAATTATACTAGTTAATAAGTTATCATTACAATAAAGTTCAACTAGACGAGAACAACTACTCAAGTTGAGGGAAGTAAGTTTATTATGAGGAAGAGCTAATTTCTCTAAATTAACAAAATCTGAGAGATTTAATTCTCCTTCCAAATCTTTCTCGTATATATCTAATCTTTTTATTTCTTCCCTAGTCTTGCCAAAATTGTCAACATACATGCTCTCATCTTTTATCTGACAAGTTCTGTTTTTAGGATAATTTCTATCCAATCATTCTTGTGTACTTACCATATTTTTATTAAATTTGCATTATTTTTTAAAATTATTATTTCACAACCACTAAATAACTCTAAGAACTAGTGATTGATTTAGGAATTATTTCTCTATTAAATATCTTCTCAGTTTGACAATAGACATATTATTATTTATAATTTATAGATATTTATAGAACTCTATTCCTTAGTTAATAGCAATTTTTATCCTATATTTAAGTTTTATACATTTTTTTAGAAAAGAGGATTATTAAAATCTTTATTCCTCACCTAATAGGCTCTTAGGTCAGAAATATATTTTTAGTATAGTTTATTTATAAACTATCTTTTTTTATACTCTCTTTTGAGTTTGTTTTTAGGGTCTTACATAACGCTTAGCATAACAAAAATAGATTATGGTAAAAAAAGAGTTTTATTTTAGTAAGTGAGGATATAGTAGAAAAGATTTTCAAAAGTGAGGGAGAAAAGGAGGACTAGTTTTTAAGTATGCTTCAGCTGCGGAAAGACAAAAGGCTTATCGGAGGAGGAAGGCCCAAGCCAAGATAGAAGCCAGGCTAATTGAAGGGGTTTTGAATATGGAGACTGGAAGGGTGAGGAAGTGAAGGAATAATGGGCAGAGGCAGAGGGGGTGGAGGGAGAGAAGACTAGTGAGAAGTTATTAAAAAATAATACATACTATAAAATTAAGTATATGACAAAACTAGAAAAATCAAAAATTGAACATCTAATAAGAGAAATTTCTAAGGTTATCACAGAAAGCGAACTTGATAAAGATAGCAATTATTACGAGAGTTTGCTATCCATGATTGAAAACTTGACCTTAATGAAAGAAGAATTAGAAAAAAGTGACAACAAAGTTACTCGGGTTGATGAACAAATTCAAGATTATACCATATTTGAGGCTGCTGAAGAAAATGAAGCAGAAATAATTCAGAAGTTAGTTGAAAGCGGAGCAGATGTTGACAGTATTGATGAACAAGGAAACACAGCACTACATTACTCAGTAATGAAAGGTAACCTAGAAGCCACCAAAAAACTATTAGAATTAGGGATCGAGGCTAATGTAAAAAATGAGGATGGCGAAACCCCTCTTCATATAGCCGCAAAACTTGATGATGAGTATGAAGAAGACGTAATATTAAAAATTTCAACTGCTCTTCTCGAGAAGGGAGTTAGCCCTACTGCTCAGGATGAGTTAGGTAACACTGCCCTTCATTACGCTGTTCAAAGAGGAAATCTAAGTCTTCTAAAAACTCTTGTTAAAAAAAAAGAGTATATTAATGTTACAAATAATTTTAATTGGTCAGTGTTGCATAGTGCTGCCTCAGCAATAGTTGAAGGAATAGAAAATTGGGAAATTATTGAATGGTTAATCAAAAATGGAGCAGATGTTACAGTTAAGTCAACAATGGGTTCTTCTGTTTATGATATATTTCGAAAAAAAGACCAAGCTTATGCTGAACGCTATAAAAATATCATCGAAATTCCTGCTATAAAAAAGTAATTTCGGACATGCCAAGCGAAAAAGAAAGATTCATCAAATCCGTTGGGGAACTACTCGAAGAAATAAGTCAGTTAGAAAGAGAGAGAAAAGGAAATAAAATTTACCATGAGCTTTCGAGTGTCAAACCAAAAGTAATTGATAGAGATGAAGAAAAAAAATCCTTAGATGCTTTGGCTCGATTGCTCGATAATAAGGATGAAACTTGTATTGCCCTTAGTTATTTTAAGGATAAATTACTTGTGGCTGGCAATGACGAGGAAATAAAAGAATACACAAAAAAACACTTAGAAGTTTTAAAAAAATATATTCAATCTCCCTTTAAACAACAATACGAGAATTTTTTGATACCATCCATTGTTGAGTTTCTAAGACGTATAGAATACACTCTATCTACAAAATCGGACTCAAGTACTAAACAATTTAACAAATTTCTTAAGCAAATTATCGAAGAAAGAGAGGGGGAATTCTTTAAGTTAATTTGGATAGAAAATAGCAAGTGAAAAATAAAAAGTGAGTTAAAACACGAATTAGAGGAAGAAAAATTGAATTTTGATAAAATTTGCCAATCACTTAAGCATATTAATACAAGTAAGTTAATGTCCGAACTGATAAATGTTTTTTCTGAATCGCTTGACTCAAAAGTAAGAGAGATGGAAGTGATCAATCCTTTAAAGGATGCGAATCTTGTTGCCAACAACATTATCAGTATCATTGAAGGGGAATTTAGAAAGGTAATTTGGGCAGTTAGTGAAGAAAATTTGAGTTACATAAAAGGCCCTCGAGGAATGCATGCAGAGATGAAATTATTACAAAATTTAAGGTATGAAAAAGCAAAATATATTAGTATTAGCAAGAAATGTTGTGCTCCTTGTTATAAAGCTTTAGAAGTACTAGAAAAAACTGATATAGTTTATGGAACACACGGCTCCACATTCTTTGAAGGTGGTTGAATTTCTCCTGAAATTAATGATAACTTTCTCACTAAACTTATAGATAGTCTTGAAAAAGTAAAAAAAGATATTCAAGAAAGAAAATCTGGTTTTTATGAAAAAAAAAAGAATTATGAAAAAGTAAAAAGCCAATTAGAATCTTTGGAAAAAAAGTCTAAGTTGAATTCAAGGGACAAGGTTAAGAAAACAGGATTAGAAGACGAACTAAAAAAACTAGAAATAAATAAGGAAAATTGACCTTATACTAAGGGAAATCAAAGCACTGCTGAACCAAATGAATTTCTAAGAGAAGTACCTTGGGTGAGTAAATATAAAGATATTAATGACTTGGAAAATAATGGTAGCAAATTAAGAGGACTCGAGGAGCACCATGAAGAATTAGCAAACATAAAGTCATTCTTTAAAAAAAATTGGATTCAGAAAGTAAACGACTTGAAATGAAATCTAGGAATTGCCCCATGGAATCTCGAAGAAGGCGAAGAATGAGAAAGTAAGTTAAAAAATAAAGAAAACTTGTTAGAAATAGAAGAATACGCCAAAGAAATCATGAGAGACATTTACCAAAAATCCGGAAAAGAAATACCAACGGATTTGCGAAAGATGGAAACTAAAATCGAAACCTTTCAACAGTAAAAGAACCTTCGCCAAACTAATTTGTCACAAAAGAACTATGAAAAGTAGTGGCTAAACTAATTAAATAGCCTAACTAACCATCTTTTTTTTTTTTACTGATTTACTAAATACTTATACCAAAAAGTTCGCCAAGAGTAAAAAGATGGATATCTCTCATTTACCGCTCAAATTTGCTGGTCTTTACTCTGAACTAAAAACTAGTAATGGTTATGGAGAAATGGGTCGTTGTTTCCCGCACCAAGTTATTTATCCTTATCAAGTTAAGGAAATCAATATCAGCCTTAATCGCTTATATTTGTTAAATAAATTAGAACATAATCGCTATTTTACTAGCAATCCCCAATATGGAGACTATACTTATTTAGATATTAGTTTTGATAAAATGATTGAAACTTGCTCCCATGAAATCGCTCATTATATCCAGTTAGTTAAGCATGATAGAAGTAGTTGTGAAAGTGATTTAAAGTTAGAGAATGGGAATTGTGATAGAGAGTTGGCAAAAGAACATGAAGAATTTACGAGGGAAATTTACGGAATAAAGAAACTAGGTGAAAGGAAATCATGTTGTAAAACATATTAAAGTCGGTTTGCGATCAATTAATCTAATAATTAACGCAATATGGTAATTCAAAACTTAAAAACAAATCCTAAAACAGATAAAGACAATAAAAACCCCAGATTTAAAGACAAAAACGCTTACTCCTTGTGAAAAGGCGAATGAGTATCCAAATACCAAAAAATTAAAAAAGTAGGTTATAAAAAACTTCATTCAGTAATTAATGCTTCTAACCTTAATGACTTATATTTAATTCCTGGTAATAACACCGAAGAATTAAAAGGCAAAAAGGGCTATTACAGTATCAAAATTAACGATCAATATCGGGTAGTCTTTAAATGAGATAAAAAAGGTGCTAATTATGCTGAGGAAATTGAAATTAATCCACATAATAAAAGATATGGTAAATAAAAGTCTGGTAAAATAACATGATAAGAGACACACATATATTAGTCAATTTATTATTATGGTAAAAGACCCCGATTTGAAACCAATTCACCCAGGAGAAATCTTAAAAAGTGAGTTCCTAGAACCTTTGAATATGAAGGGAGAAGAATTAGCCAAAAATATTCAAGTAAAAAAGTCAGTTATTAGGGAATTATTAGCCGAAAAAAGGAGAATGACCGTGGATTTAGCCTATCGTCTTTATTTTTATTTTGGAGTAAGCGCTGAATACTGGTTAAATTTCCAAAAAAAAT